GACTTGAGTCAAGTCATGTGACTCAAGTCCCACATCTCCCACCTTTGCCCAGGGCCCACTAAAGTCATAATGTCATAATGATGTCTGGGTGATCTGCTCAGTAGGACAGTGTGTGCACACTCTACATCAGTGAAAATCTGATGCTCTAAACAAATCGGCCATTGTCCTCAGCTGTTCGAGCAGATCGGATGCGAGGTGGCAGAAACACGTTTGGTCCCATGTACAAGCGAGACCGTGCCCTGAAGCAGCAGAGAAAGGCTCTGATACAAGCTGGTGGATTCAGACTGGAGAGCAGCCCCCCTCTGGTCTACTCAGCCCACCCGAGAGACCTCACCTTCGCTGGTGGCCTCCAACCAGACTGCATCCTTCACAGCGTCCCGCTGCCCACAGAACAGAATGACTGCATCAGCTACCAGCCTCCATCACTGTGTTCACTTCTGCCCTCCAGCTCCCCTGTTGGCCCCCAGTACCAGAGCTTCTCCCTCTCAAACTGGACTATCAAGTCCAAGCACACCAACAACTGTGACAGTCCACCAGGCTCTGCTGCAGCAACCTACGCCGACTCAGACGAGCTACACTCGAGCTCTCCACAAGGTCCCGGGATGCCTCAGCTGGTGATGGAGTTCCTGCTCTGTGATCCAGATGAGCTGCAACTGCAGAATAAGATCAGCGCTCGTATCCAGCAGGAGCAGACCGGCTGGAGGAGACACGGGAACCCCGGCACCTTCAGCCTCATGTGCGTCATGGCTGACCAGACGCTGCTCTCCATCGTGGAGTGGGCTCGCACGTCCATCTTCTTCAAACAACTTAAGGTAACATCCGACCTGCTGGTTTCAGTTTTATATACATTATTAAAAGAAACATAAAGAGCCTGATAAAACCCGTATTTAAACTGTATTAGCTCTTTGTTTTTGCACCAAGGTCAGTGATCAGATGAAGTTACTGCACAGCTGCTGGAGTGAACTGTTGATCCTGGACATCATTTCCAGACAGGTCCTGTACGGCAGAGTGGGCAGTCTGCTCCTGGTCACTGGGCAGGAGGTGAGATAGTTTACTGTCTTTAAAGGTGTAATGTGTA